GACCACCATCACAAGCGACGGATCAGAGCTCAGACGACCAGAACGAACCCCCCAGACTACAAACGGGAGACCTCGTGCTGATCAAGGACTGGGATCGCCCCAAGCTCGGACCCAGGTGGAAAGGACCATTCCAAATACGTCTCCAGACTCTGACTGCGCTTAAAGTCAAAGGGCAGAATCGCTGGATCCACCTAAGTGACTGTAAACGATGGGCTCCCTCACCATCTTGAAAATAATCATTGGACTGAGTATTGTTCAGACTGTGAGTGGGTTGGAGGACAATTTGTTTTATAAGACACATATCCTACTGTATGGTAATCGAACAGTGTGTTATCTGCTAGCACAATCTGTAGAAGCTTTGTTTGTAGCAACCCCAGGATGGAACCCTCACCAACTCTGTGAAGTAGATTATTCTGGTGAGCCTTGCCAAGGGAAGAGAGGAACCTGGAGCAGGAGTGTGCAGGGTAAATGTGTAGAATTGATAAGTAATGGCCCCTCCAATTGTACAGGTACTAAATCTAAGTCTGGGAAGGAAGGGGCCAACTGTATGGATCCTAACAGCTATCTGCTTTGTTTTAATGGTACTGGAAGTTGTTGTGTATATGCCTTAGTAAACGTCACCCACCATCCCCATGATGCTTCCTGGCCCCATCAGTGTGTAAAACGGACTTGTACAACTAAAGGAGGGCTATTGAACTGCCCCTGTTTGGAATCAAAACCGGTAAATATGACTTCAGGCATACAATGGACTTGTGGGAGTTGTAACGGCACCCACGTAGAAATGGGGTACGGGACGTTTCCGTTTCACTCCTCAGACTTCCAACCATTTAAGGGTCAATCCTCCTGGAATAGTTACAAGATAGTCCGTAAGTCCGTTACCTGCTACCGTGCTAAGAAGGGATTTGTTTTCCTTCTCAATGGGACCTTTTCTACTGCTACTCCAACTTTGCCGGTGCTATTTGCTGTTGGGACCATTGGGCCTCTCACGGTCCCTTGTCCCCAACGAGCATATACTCGACGATGAATTGTCACACGCTTCATAAGCAAGGAGTTTTGCGCCGACTGGCAGGATCCAGTAACCCTGGGCTCTTCCTTGGGACATGGCTTCCTGGGAACTGTCACTTTGGGAGGCTCCTCAGGGGTGGTGTCCACTAAAAACCGAAACTACCTTATATGTGGACTCACCGCCCTGGGAAATAGCACAATCTTGGCATTGGAAGCAGTAAATCAAGAATTAGCCGAACTTCGGCTCTATGCTCAGCAAACCCGGTATGCAGTGGACTATCAGCTGGCTCAACAAGGGGGAGTTTGTACAATAGTAGGAGACAAATGCATCACCCATGTTACGGACGAATCATACAACATAACCCACGCCATCCAGTCTATTAAAAAACAATTGGATGATTTCAGACAAGGTAAAGGAGATGACTGGCTAGGGTGGCTACTGGGAGGACCCTGGGGATCCTATCTATTGCATGGGCTAGTAATTTTTGTTGTTATAATCATTGTATGTTGTGTGTTAATAACTTGCTTAATTACTGGTTGCAAGATTATTACGAAAGCTGGCGACGTCTTTCTCAGCCCACATTTAGTTGGTTATCATGGAATGATAAAAGGAGGGAATGAAATGTTAAAGGGTTAATATCTGTTCTGCTGACATATAAGAAATTAGGTGCTTTGTGGGCGCCCCTGTCTCGCAGACAAAATGGGGTAATCTAATTATACTCTGCTCTCTGTAAATGTTGAATTAAGGCTAAAAGGATAAGGAACTATCTCGTCTCACACATTGTTTTTGGGCAGCTAACCTTTGTTTTACTGTTAGATGATTAAGTTACGTGATTATGGGGGAGAAAAAAAAATTGTATCTTGTATGCATGTCTGACTGTGCTGTAAAAACCTATATAAAAGGGAGGACGGTTCCCTTACAGAGAGCATCGTTTGACATGACTCCGCAAGCCCTGCGAAGATTGTTAAGTGATCCTCCAAAGCTTGTACTTGCTTATATAAACTGTGGCTATTCACAGAAGTTGGCGTATTGCACTTGTATCAAATGCGTAGGAATCTCCTAAAAGAGAACTCAACACACCGTCCTCCCACTCTATTTTAGCGCAACCCTATCGCTATACCTTTCTAATATTCAAAACTTACCAAAGATCCTCAGACAGCCAAACCCACGACCACTTCCATCTAGAAGGACAAGGGCAGCAGATACATGGGAACACCAGCCCCTTGCAAGCTCCCCTCCAAGTCACTCACCATCCTGACTTGGAAATATATCGCCGTTCCTTCACTGTTGCTGGGTCAAAATCCTGGACTTGCCTCATTAAGGGCATTGTGGGTTAACCCACAGCAGGGGGACTGCAGCGGTTCAAGGAGGCAGCTCACCCTCACCTTCTCAAGGGGGCAACTAGGGACGGGCAATAAATGCTTGACCAGCCAGTGACACACACACCATACAAGAGAGTTTAAAAATCATTTTCCCCTTGTGTGTTGATCCAGCTTCTCCTCAAAGTAATCACCTCATGTTCTCCTTGTGGAAGGGAGTCCCACATTCTCAATTTCCCATTGGATTTATTAATAACTGTCTTATATTGGTGGATCCTTTAGATATGGTCTCACCCACACATTTTTTGCTACGTTGGCCTTATCAAAAGCTTTGGGAAGCTCCAAATAGCCTGTTGGTGGGGAAAGGTCAAAAGATTATCTCATTATTTCACTAGCTCACACTTGTAAGATGCGTAGATGTGGGCAGGGGATAGGTTCGGGCTCAGATGGAACTTCTCCCCAGTCAAGTAGCTCAGTGGATGCTGGGAAAAATGGCCAAGTATGCTCAATTACTGGGTTAACGATGGGATGAAGATTACAGACAGAAAGGATTGTCACTTTATTGTTTTCACATCCTGTCACATAAGTGGCAGAACGTAAATGAAGTTTAAACAGTTGAGTATTTATTTTCCTGGCAGGAAGGGAGTTCAGACAACCGGAAGTAATGAGTTTGAATTATCTCGGAATAACTTCAACCCAGTTTTCCCAGAATGTCTTATCTCAAAAACAGTTGGCTCACAAAAAACGGTAGGTTACTAAATGAATGGAGCTTGGTTGATGAGGACAGAAGGCAGAGAGAGAAAAAAAACGACTTGCAATTAGACAAGAAAGAGATGCAAACCATTTGGCCTATCAAGCCTGCTATCCAAGAGAATCATGGCTGATTTAAAATCCTATCTGCCCTTTACCGTGCTGTCCATCTATCTCTCATTGTCCAAAAATGCATGAACATCTTCTTTGAGCTTATCAACAACTGGCTATCTGCTGGAGTACACTGTTCCAAAGGCACACAACACTCGGAGTTCAAGATGGCACCTCCGACAGCGCGGCGCTCCCTCCGTGCCGACCCTCCGACAGCGCGGCGCTCCCTCCGCGCCGACCCTCCGACAGCGTGGTACTCCCAACAGAACTGACCCTCTGACAGTCTGACTCAGAGACCCACACACAAACACGTGTTGAAACAGAGTTTGGAATTTGACCCGATGTGGGACCCACCTTGACAATTCCTGAACTGAAGAGATGGGCAGGAGGGTTGGGTCGGTCTCTCAGAAGGAGCTGACAATGGGATCAATTGTAGCTTCAGTGTTTGGCAGGGGACAGTGCCAGAGTGAACAAAGGTACAATGGGAAGGTCATCACAAACGGTCAGGGATGGAGCGTACACATGGTCTGCTGTTGCGAGCTGGCAGAGATTGTTTACCAGCTGCTATTAGGCTCACTTATTTTCAAAGATACAGAAAGTTGGCACCTTCACTGTAGCCATCTCTCAAAGCCCTTTGACAATGCGGTGCTGGTTTCTATCAATGCCTTCCCTAGCCGTGCGAATCAGACACAGACACCATAAGAGGAATTGCACAGTTCTCCGTGATATTTATCTTCATGGATTGTGTGACAATTATAGGGAGCTAAACTCGAGTAGACGAGCCAGAAAGAAAACACAAGGTGACTAATAGTTGGTTTTACAAGCACTTGATTACAGAACAATGACAGCCCTCAGTTCAACCTCTCAGTGAGGAACATTCGGTGGCATGGCAGCTCAGTGACTGGCACTGTTGCCTCACAGCGCCAGGATTCGATTCTGTGTGGAGTTTGCACATTCTCCCCGTGTCTGCATGGGTTTCCTCCGGGTGCTCCGGTTTCCTCCCACAGTCCAAAGATGTGCAGGTTAGGGTGGATTGGCCGTGCTAAATTGTCCCATAACGTTCAGGGATATGTAGGTTAGGTGGGTTAGCCGTGGGAAATGCAGGGTTACAGGGATAGGAAAGGGGGATGGATCTGGTTGGGATGATGTTGGGAGGGTAGTGTGGACTCAATGGGACAAATGGCCTGCTTCCACATGGGAGGAAATCTACGATTCTGCTCCTTGAGCCTATCTACAATTCAATTCGACAATAACCGAGCTGCACTTTAATTCCAACATTATGCCTTGGCTGACCCTCCTGTAACCCCCTTAAACAACTGTCAATCAATCCCTTCTCTGAAGTTTTCCATTGGTGCTGCCCATTCCCAAAAGCTTTCTTTCTGCGGGGAGAGTTATGGAGATTTCCACTTGCCCTGTGTGCTAAGAAACTGTTTTCTGGCACCCCCACTCAACGGTATACATCAAATCTTACAATTCTGTCCCTTTGTTCTACACTACCCTGCCTCCACAAAGGTTATAATTGCTGTATTTGCCAACATTTCATCAAATCCTTTAATTGTCTCAAACATTTCCATTTGATCATCCTTTAATCATCTCCACGTGAGTGTACAAGCCTCATTTGTGGCTACTGTCCTCAGAATTTAACACTTCCTGCCCCAGGCTGATCAAATCTAGCAAGGAGCAGCTCTCAATACAGAGTTTCATCATCACCCTCCGACAGCGCGGCGCTCCCTCAGCACTGACCCTCCGACAGCG